GCTTGGCTTCCAAAAGCAACAGTCCAGGTATGGAAATAAAAACTCTTTGCATTAATTAGTACAAGTTGAATTTGGAGCTTATTTGTGAAAGACGTACCGATTTAATTTATTCAGAATAAAGTATTAAAAGTATCAATTGTGCCCATCTCTACCTACCTTGTGGGGCAATTTTCCCTTTTTTGCGTCCCCAATAAATCTAAAACCTCAAGGGGCCCATTTTTTACAACGACCGTGTTTTTAGTTCATTATCAAAAATTAGTGTTGGGAAAACTCTAAAACATTACTTGTGATTTGTTAAAATAATTTTGAGAATTTAATAAATGTTGAATAAAAGTTAAAAGCTAATCCACTTTTTAGTGAAAAAATTACAAACTGGCAAGAACGTATATCCCTGGAACATGATCTGATATTGAGGAAAATCTTACTTATTACAACTTATTACTTCAGTTCCGTAAGACAAGTATTGATCACGGCCGTTTCTTTGCAGCATGACAGAGTAACTTGTATGTTTGACAGGCTGCTCTAGCCCCAGACGCCCTGGACATGGTTCGCAAGTCTTCAGAGAACCCTGACCCTATAGACATTGACCGTGGAGAGCAGATCCTGACCATAGCAGTCCTCAGCATCTTAGTGACCGCTCCTCTAGGCTCCATCGGCATCACGCTAGGAGGTCCACACTTACTGTCTCAGGTAGATATTGTAACTCTAAAGGATTAAACTATTACATTAGTCATCATGAAGTTGATAGAGCATTGTACTTTTCCATTGTAAGGTCGCTAGTAGCCAAAAATACCCAATTTAGGGTTGGGATGGGCCAACAGTTGGCCAGAGAGATTGGTTCACAAAGGAAATAATTGTCAAGATGTTAAACACCTGCAAAGATGCGTTGACGATTATTCCGCTCTCTTGTATGATATGTTTTGCATCGTACATTAGGGGGAAACAATGATGATGTTGCTGCTACCAAAGAAAAAGTTCACAACTTTGCTGTGACTGCGGAAGATATTCACAAGTTTGACATGACCGCTGAAGACATTTAAAGATTTCCCCATTATCACAAAAGATCATGCAAGAAATGTTCACGATTTTGTCTTGACCTCAGAAAGTTTCACACTGTGGTAAGGTAGGGATCATTTACAAATAATGCAAATTTAGTATTACCATTAACATTTCTTAAAATCATTACACTTTTCCATGAATTTTGGCTTCGAGAAACCCAAAACTTTTTTACCGAATACAAAGTATAAAAGTCTGGCCCACAAATCCCTCCATGATCATATTTAAAGAACATATTAGAGGCTATATTGCAGAATCAAAAAGTAAAGGTAGATTAATTAGATAGCTAAGTGTAGGCTTAGGATCATTTGCAAACAAGATGAGTATCCTTGTCTAGCTGTAGGAAAAGTCCATAAAATTTACCTTCAAATTAAAATAATTTTACTTTGCATAGTGAACTTTAAAAACACATTACTGTACCATTACTACTTATATCAACATCTTTAAAAATACCAAAGTTCTTGTATTTTCTTCTTCTTCTATACTACACCAACCTGTTTCAGGAACATCCTGAATCGACCTCTGAACAAGACAAGTCCCATTCCAAAGAGAAAGAAGTGGCCGTGGAAAAAGTTTAAACAACTAGAATATGCTGCACGGGCAATAGCTACATTTCCTCAGGCTTAAGTTAAAGGTAAAGCAACATAATTGCATTGTCTTATGGTAAATTTAAAGCACTTCAACTGCCAAAAAGTGGTAAAAAATTTAATTTTTTTAAAGTCCTAAATGCTATCAAAAGTCCTGTATTTGGCCTAACACATATAGATTTGTAAAAATGATAGTACTCAAGTCATGAATTTGATTGTATAACTAATGATAATAATATACTGACGACTAAAAGCTATAATGTTTGAAAATACTCAGATCATTTTTGCCTTTTACCAGATAATTGCCTGTGCATTTATACTTCTTTGTTCAAAAATACGTAAGGGCAATTAATGTAAATATTGTTTAGATCAATAATAGCTTTAATGTTAGATTGTCACGTTAATTTTAAGCGTTTTAAACTTTTTTACTTTTCTTAGTTATAAAGAAGTGCAATATGACAACTATGTAGGTACTTAATTTATTCTTTGTACTTTGAAACTATATTACTCATCTGATTTTGAAACGCTCTCGTATTTTATTCCAGAAACAGAATGTGTTCAATTTTATAAACACAGGGATTTAACGAAAATAGAATTCAATCAAAATGTATCTATTTAATTTCTAACATTGTATACATTTATTTCACATAAGCATTTTATTGTAGATCCAACTGTGGTTGTAACAAGTAAGAAATGATTCCACGTTTTAGCTTCCTGTTTTTAGTATTGTTAGTCGTAACATTGATTGTTCTCCAATGGAGTAATGCATAGTTAAGTGTTCAAGAAGTTTTAGAATATGTATAGTGAAATTTTAATAGTGTTGATTTTATAGCTAGTTTATGCACCATTGGATTTTTTTGTATTTTCTCATTTATTTTGATTCATTCAATTATGAATAACTTATGGCTAGATTATCGTGGCTGCTGATTTTCAATCAGTTTATTTTGTTGTTTTAGTTGGTAGGATTTCCTAATGGCCATTATTAAAAAAAAAACCCCTTCTTACTTCCCCTTTATGAATTTTTACTAGATTAAAAATGTCTAACTAATTTAAATTTTTCCGGAAAAACATTAAAGTTTTTTAGTGGATCAACGCATTTGGTAAAAGAAAGTAAACTTAAACTAACTTTTTTTTGTCATGACTTGCTTCTAAATTTAATATACAAAAAAATCCAATGTGTACGAGTATTGTTACTGTATATTTTCTTTGTAAATATTGTACAGGGTTCTTGTTAATCTGTGGCATTACAGAATTTAACGTTAGTTCCTTAGATGTAAGTAGAATCTGTTATAACAATTGCTCTTTCAAATATTCTTTTTTATTTCTCCTAATATCATCAGTAACTACCTTAAAAATTCAGTTGGTATTTTCAAATTGGCTAATTTAATTTTTAAGTAGACAAAAAAAGTTTTATACACAGATAAAAACAGTAATAAGCTCTTTTCAGTATTGATATTGTTGATAGAGTTTGGCTCCCTTAATCAAGTACTGTAGTTTTTTTCTAATGAAACTTTCATTATTATCTATGACTTTTCTCTCCCTGGGGGAGGGGGATGAAATCCTTCACAATTCTTAATAACTTTAAATTTGAAATCTGTTTACTAATTGAAAAGTGATGAGATTGTTCATTTAAGAATTAAAGTTAAATCTATAATTTTAATAATCTTCTATCTAGAACTACAGTATTAAAAATATCGGATGTTGGAAATTGGTTGACCTGTTCATGTAATAGTGAAATTAGAAATACAACATTTAAAGGTAGAGTGAAGAGAGCTAGTTTCGCTCAAATTGAGGGTTGTGTTGTTTATATAAACTTACATACATACGATATAAATAAAACAATAGTAGTACTTAATTATTCCTCTTCCCATAACAAATTTGTCTTTTTGAATTAATGTGATAACAAAATATGTTAGGCAAAGTAGAATTTAGATTCAATGCTATTATTGAGAATGAAGGGTCGTTTTTATATCATATTTTCCATTTCTTCTCTCTCCCTTTTCTTCCTTTGTTTGTTACTATATTCAAACAAATTTGAAAAAAGATGTGCACAAAAATTTTAATCAATCTTTCATTGAAAGGGTAAAACAGTTGAATACAAAGGGATATGTAATATTAGTTTTGCTTATTAAAAAAATGTTTTATAATATTATTGTTGTTATTTAAATTAATATAAATTATTCATTGAGTGTTAAAAATAATAATTTTAAAAGATTTATATTTCTGTTAATTGTTTGTTCTGTAAAAATGTATTTTATCATAGTTCTAATAACAAAATGTTAAATTTTTAAATAGTTTTATTGTAAGTCGGTTAAAGTTATTTTGATCTTAATTTGTTGAAAAAAAATATCTTTTTTTAATTAATTCTAGTAAATATTTTATAAATGAAGATAATTTATGGAGCATTTTTTTTAAATATTAGTTGAATATAATCATAACATATTTTAAATAATTTATCCTCCATCTATAGTTTTTTAAAGAAAGATTGTCATAGTGCGTTAAATTTCAAGGTTAAATGAAAACCATAAGTTTGTTTAATATAAATATTAATCACACACTTCCAAAATACTGTTAAAAATAGGTACTAATAAATTAAAGCCTGCAAAGAATTTAAATATATACTTGTAAAGAAGGGCACAATTAGATAACCTTAAAAAAACTGTTTTCTTCTTTAGTTAAATAGAAAATTCAATTCTGTAGATGTTTTTCAAACAATAAAAAGTAGATTTGAAATAATTTGTCCAACCCTGTTTAATAACCAAATAAATTTAAATGTTATACTGTACTCTAAATATTGAAAATAAAACTTCAAATATATTTAAATATAAAACTAAGAATTAAGTGTCGATGTATAATTTACTTTTCATTTTTTAATGTTAATTTCCAATCAGTTTTGAATTCAAAACTCCGAACGCATGAACTGCAAATGTTTCAAACTATTGTTAGAGAAACGCCAAACAAAAATATTGAAATGTTTAGCCAAATAGAATATTAGGTTAGACTAGTTGTAGCCGTTAGATTTGTGTGAAAACCACTAATTTAGGTAGCTCTTAATTGTGCATGGAAAATGTTCTTAACTGTCTTTTATTCTCAAGTCGCTGTTAGTTGGATAAATTAAGTTTTAAGTCTAAATTTACAATTCTCTGTATAATTTTGTTAAATGACTTTGTAGAGGTTTCTAATATAGTGAGATTTGGGAAAAGAATGAGATTTAGCAGTGCAATATGCGCGATGATTTTTCTTTCGACTAGTCAATTTAAGGTGCATTATTAACGTAAAGTTTTATCGTGGGCTCTGCTGCTATATTCACTGACTATACATCTAAGTCTATGCTACATAGTGTTCTATATGCAGTGCCAATCAAACAAAACTTTAAGACATCAGATTGGTTAACATCAATGGTTTATAATTTTGATTTAATATAACATTTGAGTTTTAATAGGTTTAATATTTATTTGCCTAGTTGTGTTACCTAAATATACTTCATAGCATATCTTAACCAGAAAATGTGTAAAATACATTGTTTATTGAATCTAAAAATTTAAAAGGTATACATTTGAATTTTTGGCCAATTTTAAAAACACTTTAAGCACTTAAAGGCACTTAGGCTATTGGCAAAACTATTCTGGTATCCATTTTTATAATTTGTTTGTGCCTTTGCATTTATCTCTTAAACTTTGCACCTAAGAGAAACCGTTGTAAAATGTTTTGTTTAAAAACATGTCTTTCCACTTTCATTGTTTTCATATTGGCACTGCATTGTATGGAAACCACCCATATCAGTATTACTTGCAATGTAAAAAGCTTGGAAGAAATTTTCACTTGAAACAGTCACTACTCCAAAATCAGCACCTAATAGTGAGATTTAACATGTGCCAATCGATATTCACCCATATTCAATATTCGCTCAACTCAGGCATACTAACATGGCTCCGTTACGTTTTGATATATTTTATATTCTATGTACATAACAACAAAACTGAGTTTGACTCACATGTAGGTGATGTAATCATGTAGGCTGTGAAAATGCTTCTATTGGTTTTAATGCTCAGCAAATCTTAGTCTTCAATTCTTTTGTGAGCGATGCAACATGCAACCAATTATTAAGTTAATTCTTTATAATATAGGGCACAAGACCTTTGGTGTTATAGATTTTTTGTCAGAATGGCACTTACCTGAATGGAGAAGAGTCCAAATTGGCACAAGAAACACAAACCCTTATACTATAGACAAAAAATTAGAATATTTCACTGTCACTGGCAGGGTTCTCAACTGAGAAAGGTATGAGATGAAGAAAGGTTCTTCTTCACGCCTGATGGTGGCCAGTGTTCTGTGTTTCTTGTGCCGGTTTGTTTCTTTCCAATGTAGGTAAGCTTGCTATCCACACAAGAATCCTCATTCCTTAAAAGGTTCAGCCTTTTTCAAACTTGTTATCTATTTGTTTAAAGCTTTCACTACTAAGACTCACAATACTCACAAATAAAAAAAATTGGATCTTGGTAGGGAAAGTTTTAACCCATCAAACTCTTTCATACACCTTAATGCCAAGTTTATTTCAATAAAATAATTGTGTTCAAAAAGTTTTGCTTATGAAGCGAAGACACTAAACTTCCACCACTCATTTCCAGATAAATCTCCAGTTTTAGTTCCAGCAGTATTTATTTTGTTAGAGTTGCAGCTCCTTGCCAAATTTACGTATAGGAAAGTGTGTAGGGTAAGGTCGTAGGTTGTAATGTGGTCCCCTGAAAGAGATGTGTCGATCGTCAACTCTTATCGTCAATTGAATATTCAAACTGTCAAGCAATAAATGAAGTGAGTTTTTTTACAATTATGAATTTTAAATTAGAATCCACCTTGCTTCCCTCGCTTATTTAGGCCTAATGATTGTGTGATTCTAACCTATTTACGACCATTTTTTGTAAACGTATCACTGTTCATCTGTAGTTTTTTGACTCAAGATTTACTGTCGGAATTTTAGTAAAACAGCATTTTATTCTTTAAATATTTACAAATCTGATATTCTTATACAGATTTATTTAGTATAGTTATTTATATTAGTGTTTTGTGATCTGTAAATATCCAGATAAATAGACAATTTAAATAATAAAATTTCTTTTAATGTGTTTATACATTTTAACATGATTTTTTGCAATGTGTACTTAACTTTTGTAGTACTGTACTTATGTTCGCATATCAGTTATATCTTATTGTTGCATTTACTTTTTTATTTTCATCTCTAAATCTGGATGTTTACTTGAACAAACACGCTTAAAATTGCATTTACTATCAGTCTTTTGACTTTTTACTGTAGCACTGTAGACATTTGATTAGAAAACTACTTATGACCTAGATCTCTTCTACAGTTGTTCTAGTTTAGTTTAGAGTCGAAGATGGTAAGTTCAGTTCTGTGATCCCAAAGACCAATCGTATGTTTTCACTACACTGTGGGACACATCTCTTGAGTAGCGTTCGTTGTCTGGTGTACTCTGTACAAATTGTAATGTGTCTTTCATTTGACAAATTACATCTCAAAACTAACTTGTGTTTGTTTTTATTTAACCTTTCCTGATGTTTTAGATCTATGGGTTACTAAAAGTATTTTTTGTCTAACTGCGGCAAAAACGTCCGCCATTAATGTGAGACTAGCTCTATTTGTCTCCTTAGGCCAGAAAGGAATCAGCTAGAGCCGAGAATGCCAAATTATATTTTTAAACCTTTGAAATTTGTCAGCTGATTTTGCCAGAGGAAAAATTCAAAGAATAAAATTGTTGATTTGACCCTCGCTCATTTGGCGTCCTTGACATGATGAGCATCCCTAACTCATTGGAAGTGAATGTAAGCTTCTCAATTTGCTCATCCTGTGTAGATGATTCCTTCCTCAAATAGAGCAAGGTTTCCCTCCTAACCTCTTTGAGCTCCTCATAGTCAAAGATGACCTTCTCAGCAGCATCACACTTGATGGATAATGTGTTCTCCTCATATAGACCTATACTCCTAAGATTTTCTCTGACCAGTCCTATTGTCTGTCTCATTTGTTAAAGTGGTAACAATGTTCCCATATCAACCTGTTTGGATGACAGTTACACGACGGAGGTATATTCTAAATACATAGATTTGGTGGATTAAAAGCATTTCATAGGCTAAATAATGAACCAGTTTATAAAAATGGTATTTATTAACTAATAAAATAACATTAGGTATTTACACATGTACATGGCAGAGAGAAAAGAAGAAGTTGTTATAACAGAGAGTCTATGGCATGTATGACACCGTTGGTAGAGGGAATGTTCCTGGATATCACATTGGCTGCATTTACTTTGATCCGACCTGGAAAATAAAACATTGTTAGACGAATGTATCTCTAAACTATAGTTTGGCCGCTTAGAAAGTGACCTGCGCACTAATGCTAAACGAATGCTAGAGGAGGTCGCTTTCTAAGCGGCCGAACTATAGAACTATTTTCCCGATTGTGAAGACCGTAACACAGTTTAATAGCTTAAACATATTGTTCAATGATAAAATACTGATGAAGCTTTTGAGAACTCAATAAATAAACGGTATCAGCAATCTGACATACTTTCTCCCATAAGCTTCTTGTCAACAACCTTTATCATAGGCATGTGTAAGCGGTTGGGTGGGAGTAACTATGATATTTTATATAGAAACTCACAAAAGTTGATATAATCTTTGAATCGTAATGTTACAGCGATGGGGTGTTGCACTATTTTGTTTAGAATTATAAGGAGCATAACACACTAAACTGGTTATTTCCTAAAATCAGATTTTTTTTATTTGGTGGGGTTTTTATGGGAAAATAAAGCAAGTTAAAATAAATTTTACCAGTAATTTTTTTGCTAACCTTGATCTTTGAGCACAGTGAGTTGTTTCTGTTTATCGAGTGACTCCCTCTGCTGGTAGTACGTCATACCAGCGGTGTACAGTGAGCCTGTCGTCACGTGGCGCAACACCAGCGCTCTAGCTTGCGCTCGGTTCTCTTCTAACCGTTTTAGATCAGATTCTGTAAACGCAGCGTCCACTGGCGCAAACACCGTCAGTATCTTGCTTCCTGAAAGCAGAGGTGGAGTTAGATTTATTTGTGTTGCAACTCTTGGTAGAAAGTGATTTTTGAGAAAGTATTGTCATAGATATAACATACTCCCTTAGTTCTTAGTCTATGGTATTGTTTTGTAAAGATAGGTCTGGTTGAGGTAAGGTTGAGTGTTTACGAATGATTTACTAGTAATAATTTGTTAAATTTGAATACATGGACTGATTAAAGTAAGTTATGTTCTAAAGACTTTTCCACCTACTCTATCAATAAATTAGCCTTTAAGACTAAAATTTAAATTTGTGATGAATCCAGATTCTGTTGTGTTTTCCTATGTCCCCTTATTCTCATTAAACTTAGCTAAACACTATGCCCTTTACAAAATTAAACTCCAGGATTATTAAGACTTCTTTTACACTCACATTACTATAGTACAACATTGACATTTGGATGAAGAACACATGCCATATGGACCAGCGATTGCCTACTTTGTTTTTTATTAGAACATGGTTTAAAGAGCTCCACACAGGAGTTTATTATTGTTATAAATGCATTCTTAGTTATTGATTGGTAAATAATTTGACTTAAAAGGTGCTATAGTTTGTAATAAGTTCTATGTTTGGTTAAAAAGTTCAACTGGAGTAACTGACATCAGCATGCCCTGTTCGTTGTGGTTCATTTCGACTATGTTCGCTTTTATTTAATTATTGTAATATTGTATTACGATTATACACATTTTCTACACACTTACAACCCTGTAAGCACTCCCCACCTGTTAGAGTGGAAGACAGGCCAGTGTCCTGGATGAGTTGAAGGAACCTTGTGAACCTGTTCTCCCGGTCGGACTGCAATGTCTGGACAATATCTCCCACAGGAAGAGGGAACATAACCCGGTCCACAGCATGAGCCACTCCCTGGGGAATCACCATGTCTTTCTTGTCTTGGAGGACTACAGCGCCGTTGATGGTCACCACCTACAATACAATGGTTGTTAAACCTTTGAATCGCCAAGCCACCTCGTTTAAGAGTAACAAAACAAAACCGTTTCAAACTGTGTGAGTAAACTCAATAGAAGAGGGTGGAGGCTATATCTGTAATATCTGCTACATTCATCAGTATTTATGTTTAGAAGTACAGTACTACTTTGGATTTACCAGTGTTGTTAGAGCTCTAGACTGTTAGATCTGATTGATGGCAGAGCAGTCTAAGAAGGTGTCTCTTTGGCCCAGGATAGAGAGACAGCATTGAAGGTAGATATGAGGGTTCAAATCCAGTGTCAGTCTTGACCGATGTACAACTCTTAAGTAGTTTATCCTAGTGCTTGTGTGTCCACCACAAACTCATTTGATATGAATTTAGATTTTTTTCATACGATCATGACCAATTATTGTGATTAAAATATGAATAAATAAATCTATGAATAATTTTTGAGGCTTGAACGGTTACAGTGATGAAGATTTTTTGAAAAACCAAATATTACCTGTGGATGAATATTATTGAGATTGATAGCAATTTTGTTTCAACGGTAAATGAAAACAATTAAACATTGTAAAGAGTTGTTCTGAACTGAAGGATATGTATAACTACTGTCATCATTGCTTATGTAAAAGAGGTAAGCAATTTCTTATACTTGGATTGAATAATTTGAACTAAAAGAAAAAGAATATTAGTTTCAAAAGGATTACGATGCTTTTCTTCTAATGAATCTTTGACTTATTTTGCTACTTGGGGTGGTATTGTGAATTTCTAGTAATCCGTGGTGAAATACAGGACTTGATACCTTGACGTTGTTCCATTGCTCGTCCTGAGTAGTGTAGGAGTTGACTCTCAGCTGAGTTCCAGCCAGACTGACTCCGGTCATCTCGTCCTGGAGTGACTCCAGAGGGAAAGCTCCTGGGATAACGTGGTGCAGCAGCAACTGAAATCAACAATTTTTATAAATATTTCATTGTAAATACTGTGTAATCTTTGGCTACTCCACAGAGTTGTAAAGTACAGAATAAACAGGCTTATGGTGTTCTTTTAACTCTGTATGTTAGTTGGGAATATACTGATGACAAGCAAGGAAGAGCCCAAACAGCGAGAACTGTGCGGAAATTCCTATTGCACAGTACACAGCGCGGGTGTTCCTCCGTAAGCGTTGAGTACATGAGGGCGAGGGGGACTTTACCATAGACACCATCAGTAGTGCTAGACACCACCTAAGTTTACCATTGAGTGTTTCCTCTGTACCTTAATTCTCAAAAGCTACTCCAAAAATTGGAGGATAACCATGCAGTGTCTTGTTATTATCAGAGTTGCAAGGTTCAAAGTTCAGCGGTGCCCAGGCCACACTCATCACTGCCTCTGGTCAACAGTTACTTTCTCCGTCACTTCTCACGACAAGACTTCGCCTTCTGTCACTTGTGTGAATTAATGAGCTTGTCTAATGTCCATAACTCACACACAATGGGACTGATAGCCTTATTGTCATTCACATTCACTGATACGGTCAACTACATCGATATAATTAGACAACTCTCGGATCTTGTCCGTGGTATAATTTAATTGGTTTCTAAAAAGCGTTCGCGTCATTTCAGTTAGTTGACTATAAGATTTGAAGCTTAGCTTTCGAAAAAGTCTATAAACTTTTGATAATTTCACAATATTGGGAAATTTTTGTTGAAAGTTAAAATGTGTTGGTTTAATTTACATTCTTTTTATGGTGTGCCAGCGATAAAATACTCCGATATTTAATTAGGTCGTTCAAAATATTGAGCACTTACAATTCTTGTGTCTAAAGAATTATGAAAACGATCCGAGTAGTTTTTAACTTCCACTGTTGAATTATATCAAATATAGGCTTAAGTAGTTTTTTTCACTCTGTCAACGTAATGTTATGATTCTTTGGTTGAAGTTCATTGTTTGTGATGGTGAGTTAATGTTGTTCAAAGGTTTATTGCGGACATTTTCCATCACGATGGTAAAAACAAAAAAAAATACCATCGTGATGGAAATGTCCACAAAACCTTTGAACAATAATATTACAAGTTTCAGTTTTTAAAATACAAACAATGTAATAGTCCATTTCCTGAGTCCAAATAAAATGATATAACCAGTATTACCTCGCCATCACTGATCTGATACAACATTCAATGTGCGTGTGTGTTTGTGAATACTCACACACACGACGGAGGTATGCACACGGACATGGTCCTGCGTGTTAGACCGTTTCCGACCGCAGGATTGTTGTATCAACTATTTCCACACATCTGCATCGTCACCCTGTTACGAATGTTATCCTGCATTCCTTCGCTGATTGAATCTCTTGCAGTTGGATATTGTAGTTTGTTTGTTGGTGTAAAATAAGGAGTTTTCACTCTCTTTGGGTCGTATCGCTGGGTGCGTGTATTTGTTACATCAGCGTCGCAGAAATATCTAAAGATTGTTTTTGTAAACAATTAACTCAGAGTATTGTTGCCATTTCACACTGTACTTTATGAGATGAACA